TCAAGGCAAGAAAAAGAAAGCAAACATCAAAAAACATTATTCACTTCGACAGCGCGATCCTTCACCAGAAGAAGCAATTCGTATACCTAGTCCTCTAACAGTGGAGAAATCTTTGAACAAACAATTCACCACTGAACTCTTAAAACCTTCAACTGAAGATTTAATTAAGCAATCGCTGCTGTCTCGCGTGCAATCGTTCAAGACCTCAGCGGCCTCTAATATAGCTTTGTTACCACTTAGTGGTCATCAAACAATCGTTATCGATCCGCCTGTAAAAAACGACCTGAACAATAATAATAAACAATCGATACCGATCGATCGAGTAATTCAACAAAATTCTTTAGAAACTTTATCACATTCTATAAAAGAGCTAGAAACAAACAACGAGAAACATTCTGAAAATTTTGACGAAATTCAACATACAGGTGACGACAAATTTATCGATACATCTAGCCTTCGAACATCTAAGGACCCTTTCGTAACTATTAAACTTAATAAAGTTGTGAAAACTACAATACCAACATTTAAAAAAGAAACCTGTGAAAAGTTAGCTTTTGTTCAGCAAAGATTCGATAAACCACCTCCTAAACTAATAATAAAAGATACTCAAAAAAAGGAAGAATTGTTAGTAAACGCTTTAAATAAAGAAAAAAGAAAAGAAAAACAAATAACTATGACGAGACCGCAAGTTCTCCAGGTAGTAGATTCCAGAAATAAAATGCAAAAAGTGACAAATTTGAACAAAATCGCTGATACAAACGCTACATCTAGTGATATCAAGATGGATACCAGCCCACAGTACAAAGACTATAAAGACAGTAAAAATGAAAGCGACGTTAAGCTAAGCGACGCTATAAAAACTGATATAGAATATCAAGAAAAGATTAATTCCGTTAAAAATTATTGGTCTAAGCTCATAGACAAATCACCGGAATTAAAGGAAATCAGTGAACAAGACAAAGTCATCGAAGATCATTTAAATCGTACCAGCGCAACAGACTCTCAGACAGGTCGAGAAATAGAAAAGGAAAAATTTATATCGGATTTATCAGTGGGAAGTATCATAAAATCTTTGGAAAGTGTTAAAATTGTTGACAGTATACGAAAAATCAGTCAAACGAAATTACAACTATGGAAAGAAGAAACTGAAAAAGTAAAAAGCGATTCAGAAATAGAGGAAACCCCTGTAGAAAAAATTGTGAAGGAATTTGATGCAAATATTTATGAGAAACCAAAAACTACATCAAATATTTCCGAAACAGACTCAAACAGAGACACGCCTGAAATTGAAATAGTAGAACTAAGCAGTGACGATAATCAAAATCAAAAAACACAAGCTACCCTTATCAAACCAAAGGGTTTTGATAAAGAATGCGATGATTTCGACCATGTTCGTTATAAAGTAATGAAATCGGAATTATTTAAAAATAGTATGATTGCGAATTACCGTAAAGAAGCTCAATTTGATGGTCTACTACAATATCTTCAGGATTACAGTTTTCAAGAATTATTGGTCAACAATAATATTGTTATAATTGAACCAGTGCGGACAAAAATAGAACCGGCTCCTAGAAAAGCCACTGATACGCGTAAAATTCCTCCGACTCTATTGAAGAGAAATGAAGATAACATTTCACAAACAGATAAAGCCAAAAACGCCATAAGAAGACATTTCTTCTATCACCCCATCAGAGTAAATAAAGAAATTATAGAAGAAGAACTACCTAATCCTGATACTGTGAAAAANGAACCAGTGCGGACAAAAATAGAACCGGCTCCTAGAAAAGCCACTGATACGCGTAAAATTCCTCCGACTCTATTGAAGAGAAATGAAGATAACATTTCACAAACAGATAAAGCCAAAAACGCCATAAGAAGACATTTCTTCTATCACCCCATCAGAGTAAATAAAGAAATTATAGAAGAAGAACTACCTAATCCTGATACTGTGAAAAAAGTGAGGAATTTGTTCGAGGACACTTTAAAAATGAAAACACCGATGGCTCATGACCCACCACTTGTTGATGAAATTGGCCTAACTAGACGAGCAACATCCTATAGAAATCTATGCGAAGATGTGCAGGCAAATAACAAAAATAGCGGTAGAAAGAAAGTGCTCAGACAACTTACAATAGATACGAACTATGGTGGTAAAAAATGGGATAATGCTAGTCTTTCGAGTGGAGTTTCCAGTGGAGATCTAAGTTCTAACAACGAATATGAAACAGATGGACACAGTCCATTTCCACAAAAGCAATTAAAAGACAATGTTTATAGTTCAAGTGATGAATATCTTTGTGATTCGATGAGCCAAGATTTTTGCTGCGAAAGTCAGTACGTGAGTCCAGACATATTAAAGAAAATACGAGAATGTGGTACATCGGTAACATATTATGGTGGTAAAGTTGTGAATTCAAAAACGAGTGTGAGTCCTATGACGAAGGCAATCATGGATGAAATTAAGAGTTTACAGAAGAACTGTAACCGAGACTGCTTCTCATGTCAGACAAAATGTCGTGGTGACACATGTTCATGTCTGGTTGCAAACAAACATACTCAAGTTGTGACAGAGAAACAAAAATCTAAATCGTCGTTAGAAGATTTGAGTGAGGAGAGAAATAAAAAAGCAGATTCATTTCCTGGATTCAAGTTTAAGCTTGTGAAGTCGAATAGTTGTAGTAGCCGTCTTGAATTAACAGGGACTGACGAATGCAAGGACCCAAGACTAAAATATAGAAAACAACTTTCTAAAGAAGATCCTCCCTTAGTATGTGACAATGAGAACTCGGTAAAAAATAAAATATGTAGAATAGAGAGTTACAGCAGAACTACGACAAATTCTGGCGTAGATAATAAGAATAATGAAGTAACAAAAGTAATTCTGAAAAAGAAACAAGAATTTAAACCTTATGATGCAACGAATACGAAGAAAAATGAAAATAATTCCTCTCAAGATGCACCCGTTATCGTCAACTTCAGCAAAAAAGACGAATCAAGTGAAAGAGACACCGAAAGTGTGGGTAGTTGCAAAACGTCGACATCAGATACATCATTGGACCCACAGAGTTTCGAGAAAAAATATTACTATGTTAACGAAAATTCAGACAAGAACAAAGAAAAAACCACTAAATTTGGAGAAATGGTTTTTGAAGAATTCGAAGTTTTAGAAACGTGTTACGATAGTTTAAATAGTAATAAGTCGTTAAAATAATGTTTTAATAATTTAGGCTTAAGCTTTCGCGCTGCGCAAATCTTGATCTGTTTGAATTGAAAAGTTATTAAATTATTACTATTACTAGGTAAATAACTCCGTAAATGTTAGCTTGTCTGTTTATGTTTATTAGATGATAGCTACAACGTAAGAACTACTCACATATTTCAAAATATAGATTAACTGGTGATGGTCTTAAAATCTGTGTAATATTTCAATAATAAAGTAATTCAGTTTATCTTAATGTGTTTGTTTTTTAGGTTTTCGGTTCTCAAAAGAAAAAAAACGGTATCCATAAAGGATCACTCTGTTTTCTGTCTGTCTGTGTACCAAACACTGTGAAACTGTTTTGCTCATTAACGCCTATTGTACCAAATACGGTGGAAGGAAGTTATAATAAGAATATTATGACTGAAGCTTAAGAATAAGCATCTCAGTCAACGCAATCAAAAGAAATAGTCATATTTTGTCACTCCTAAACCCCATATAAATAGGACATTTATTATATAAGAATTATGTTATTTAGTAAGAAGTAAGGTTTTGTAGCAAAAATGGAAATTCTGAAAATAAATTGGTATATTTATATATAAACTTATACTTGCAGATAAAACACGACCCTTACTTACGTGGAAAATGTACGCGAGACAGTTTTTTTAACCATAATGGATTTCCGTGTTTTCATTAAATAAATTAAATGTTGAATGGTTAAATTGCAGATCGTCTTTTTAATTAAAAACAAATTCCTTTGAATTTAAAAGCGCAATTTACCCTATGTTTAAATTTTGTGTTCTAGTGTTTCAAATATAAATTGATATTAAATTATTTAGTATAAATATTTAATTTTAATTTGAGTGTTATTTTTATGGGCTGTAGGTTTATGTTGTGTATTCTGTGTGTATGTGCATTCATCTCAGTATGTAATGTAATCACTATGTTATAAATTCTGTTTGTAATACTGTATTTCACCATTATTTGAGTTAAAAAATAAATCAATTATGTTTTGAATCATCTTAATAAATACGTACATATTATAAGCCAATATAAATATGGTGTCTAAACTTTTTTTTAGTTCGATAAGTGATCTACGTGTCCTTCCAATATTCCATTTATGTCATATTTTTTAATTCTTTCGAAAATTTTAGCGGCTACTAACATTTTAATTCCTGACATCACTAGAAAGTGAAAATTAGGTTTGATCTTTTTTCTACTACTTAAGTGTTCGTTTTTCGATGCAAACTTATAATAAGGATACACAGCCTCTAGTTTTGTAAAAGTGCATGAATGTAAGGAAATCCAACGATATTGCAGAATACGATTTCACCTCCAAAGAGTCAAGAGTGAGTAGTTACTGTAAATTACGACAGTTATACTGTGAGACACATTTTTATTTTTCCTACCTATTCTAGTAACCTCGAGGGGTTATTCTAGATTCGCCGAGCTAGTAGGTGAGTTCACGGGACTCAAACCTGACGACGTTGCTAGCACGAACCCTAGCAAGAGCCGTGCTTCGCAGAACCTACCACTGGATCGGAAACGCGACCCACTGAGAAGATCCGGCGAGAAACTCAGTGGGCTGTGTCTGTGAGTTAATTTACTTGTCGAGTCCTTCGTCGCAAGCGACGTGTTCGACGAGAACGATGACCGGTTTTTGCAAGACGCATACGGCATGCATGTATATATATACACACTCACACACGCATAATACATGAAGATTCGTACTTAGGCTCATTTTCGAAAAGTGGAACTCTCAAGGTACGATTTTTATACGAACTTATCCGGTTTTTCTTACCTTCAGATAGCACTGGTTCGACTTTGGTGGGCGCATTCTTTGATCCATGTGTGCATACGGTCGTGAAGAAAGTCCGGCGAGGAGGTCGCCATCGTCGACACCATGATTCCTAAATTGAAAGAATGATACTTTATTATAAATATCAGTGATACCAAAAACGTAAGATTAATTCTTTATATTTTTATTTACATAATGAAGTCGGTTACATCTGTTTGGCCTCAATTTGTTCCCAAATCATTCATCCCATTGTTATGAAACTCGGAACAGATATTATCCGGGGAACTCCAGATAAACCTAACACGCGAGCAATTTAAAGAAATCAATGTTTTCCTACAGTTAGATATAGTCACATCGGTGATTGACCGTGTTTCACTAATGTATATATATCACTAATGTATATACGTGCGTTGTGTAATTAGTTTTTACTTTAGTTTAGTTTTACAAATATAAAACGAACCTTTGATTTCTAAAATTCAAAATCGAATATTTGCAAATTCGGAGCTTTTTATTTTAATTGTCTAAACTACAACTTTTAAAAAACTTTGAAACAATTCAATTTCTTTAACTTTCTTCTGATTTTTTTTAAAACATTTTTCGAATATTTAAAGACTCCAGTGGCTCTCAAAAAACAAAAATCTCACGCTAACGATAATTGCCACTCCGCTATGAATACTAACAACCTAGATATTTCACTATTCTCCTTATCTGTCTTAAGCGAATCAAAGATTAATTGTGTGACATGAATTTTAACAGTTTCAATTGCTAATATATTTTGCGGTCCTAAAAAAAAGGTTTTAGGGTTCCGTAGCATAATGCCAAAAAACTATATATGCACTTCCGTTTATCTTTAACCGACTTTAACTAAAAGTATGTTGTTACTACTCGGACAGAATTTTCAAAGAACCTATATTGGATTATCCACTGCACTGTGGTGTATATAAATTACAAAGTTACATAGTTCTTAATGAGTTTTTATTTGAGTCCATTTTGGGTGAGACATTCTTCAAAAGCCGTAGATACTATAGTGTATTTTCAGTTTAACTGGGTACTGTAGCGTTATGTGGGTAGAGTCCGCCTATTTCTGACGTAAAAGAATCATGCTTAAATGCAGTTGAGACCTCAACCTCAAATTATGGTGGATAGCGGCATCCAGACCATCATGTCCATGGGCTCGGATATTCCGTTACCACCAGATTAATCGTGAAAACGCTTGCTCATCGACAGTAGAAGAAAAGAGTGATAAAAAATTAAAAAAGAATTTCAAAGAGGCTTTATGCGACAGAGTAAAAAAGCTTTTGGTGACGATGGGTTTGAACATGCTTTTGAGATGCAGGATATTTTCAGGTACATACTTAACAAGTTTATGCACCATTAAAAAAAACCTCTAAATCCCACATTTTGTTTTTGCGTTATGGGCAAAACAATTATTAACATAGGCACTGAAAAGGAAAGCAATGGATGGAAATCAAAATACCTTTAATTCATAGAATAAAAACATTTTATTATTGTAACAAAAATATTTTAGTTTATGCCATACTTTAATTAGAAAAATATTGCGTTAAATTATCGTAAATTTACCACAAAACACTCGTCGTTTGTAAAAAAGGACTAAGATTATTTTCTAACATTATATTATATAATATTCTAAACGTCACTATGAATAGTGTAATAAATTTGGATTGACCTTATGTAATATTTAAAATGATTTCATCGCGAAAAATGGGCGTTAAAATCATTCTGTTCTCTTATCATATTTTTTTATTGAAAATACTTCTATTTTGACTTGTGAAATAAGTTCTTTTAGCCATTGATTTCAGCATCTTAACCATAAGGTATTTAATATAATAATCAAGTCTTATAAGAAAAATAATATCAATATATGTAATCGTCTTATCGAAATGAACAAATATCCATTAAAAATTGCAGAGTTGCAATAGTCCCGATCTAATTATAAAAAAACAGGCACATTTTTTTTTGCTTTATCTCTGACAACGAAAACAGTCTCATTCGCGTGGCTTTTGTTATTTCATTTAAACAATAATAATTTAAATATTACTCAAATCATTCAGGCGTCTCTGACAGCGACACGCACATGGCCGATTTTATTAACGTTCAGAAACCTTGCTTACATTGAAATTATTCGGCCATTAGTAAATTAGTTGTATCATGGTTTAATTAGGCTACACTAACGAAGTATGTTTTGAATGGAACGTATGTACCGTGCGTGTTCCAATGGCTTACACGCCCACATTTTTATTTACGTTATTTCATTGTTCCTCGTTGATTTATATGTTATAACTCCTTGGATACTATAATATTATATTGCGCTTATGAGTGGGTAGTCAATAGAATTAGGAGTAGGGCTAGACGAGGTTTAAAATTTGAACACCGATCATTTTTCTACTAATTAATGAATTATTTGTAGGTTGTGTTGTTATTGTGAATTATTGATTTTGATTTGTCTGTATGTATGTTTGTTTGTATGTATATTGTCATCGTTGTGCATTACAATGCAGAGTTTAGTACCCTAATTTTACAACGCAAACCATTCAATTGAACGAATGACTGACTATTTTTTTGGTAGGTATGCACCAAATGACTCAATTCGTAATAAACTTCTTCTTTATAAATTATGTATGTATTCCATAATAACTGTTTGTAAAAATAAGGAAAATTTCATGTATTTATTGCACACACAGGAAAACTACCTTTTTTATTCCTTAGATGGTCGGACGAGCTCATGGCCCACCTGGTATTTAGTGGTTTCCGGAGCCCATAGACATCTACAAAGTAAAGTCGCCACCCACCTTGAGAAACCAGTTGTAAGGTCTCACTTTTAACAGTACAACGGCTGCCCCGCCCTTCACACCGAAATGCATTACTGCTTCACGGCAGAAACAAGCAGGGCGGTGGTAGCTATCCCTGCAGACTTATAAGAAGTCACACCACCAGCAAAATTGGAGAACGTAAGCTTTCTAAACGTATGAATGAATTATTCTATTTCAAAATCTGATTTGTGACCACAAAAATCCAATAAATATATCATCATTACTTATTGTGATAGAAATAAGTACTGTCATCAATCAAGTCATCAATACGTGTACCTAAAAATATCAACTACTATTTGGAAGTTCTGTAATCTGCATAATCTGTAGCCTGGTTCAGATCTCTAATCTGTTTTTAGATAAAGGTTGATATTGATTGCTATTTTTGGATGTTTTGTCCTCGCATCGACACCATAATCCATATGATATTTATCTAAGCCTATCGAAAGGTATGGCATTTTATCGCGATTACGCATCATAAACACCAAAACCAACAATAATTACACCATATGTCACAAAACAAACACTTGACAATCTTTTTTTATGATTGAGCATTTACTGGTGGCCCTGAGACCTTTCCAGTTTTACAAGGACAGGTGGGCGAGCAAGGGCTCAGCCACAAGGGGCGGGATTTACTAACAGCTACCCGAGCGCCCCCAAGGGAGACCTAACAACTCAAGAGTAGCTGCTTCGCGAATGAATCCACTACCGGATCGGAATCGCGACCCGCTGAGAAGATCCGGCAAGAAACTCAACGGGCTACTTGACAATCTTAGGAATCGAAAGGGTAGGTAGGTTTTTAAATGCAATCATTAATAACAAAGCAGGTAGGTACATAAATAATATTATAAAAAACATTTTCGTGGTTAATTCTTGAGTCTAAGATATCAAATTATCTCGGAATATACTTTACCTTAATAATACACCCATAATGTTATCTTTCTCTTGACGGGGTGGATATCGAAACCTTTCACGATAGGCAATTTTAAGCGTATGAATAAAGAGGCTGAGTAATGAGGGCAACGGCAAGGAAAAAATAATGTAAGTACATCTGTCTACAGAACAAGGTCAACCAAGTTATCTTCTTTTGTCGACACAATAACAATGTTCCAGTTTCACATTTGGCGCGACTGTTGCAATTAGAAAATGTATTCTTTTGGTCTCCACTTACAATAATTCGTTACAGGATCGTAGGTACCTACTCGTTGTTGTGAATCACGTCGCATAGTGATTTTTATTCGAACGATCCGACTTACACACTAGAGTCTGATTCTATATAATTGTGTTTTGATATCGAACGTGATTCATTTCATAGTTAATAAGACGTTTACCTTTAAGATTTGAGGACGATGTATTTAAAATTATCGCCGCCATTGATGATTAGAGAGTAGACGCAGTTACATATATTGCAACCGAGACTACAACCTTGAAAGGTGACAATGATGAGCAGCATCTTAGACCTCGTTGTATGCATTTTAGGTTTCGAAATCCTCTTCATTCAAAGTAGAATCATCTTTCCATCAATACATAATTTTCAATAATAATACACGAAAGATATTATATATTATATACATATTATATTTGCTAAATATTTTGAGTTTTACAATTAATAGATATCTGTTTTAAAAATTGTAAGGGACATAAGTAATATTATGTTCATGTTACTTTCACTGCCAATAAGGAAATTTTCAAACCAATATCGTGCAATTCTTTCTAAATGTAGGTAATACAAACAAACACGCTATCCAGTTTACTTCGATACTATTACCACACAAAAGACTGGGTTTTTACTAATCCCTAAACCAGAATGGTACGGGACGACCTAAAGAGCAATGAACTTAGAATTGATTGCGCCGCATCTGACCTAGGTGACATATTTCAATGCAAATTGTTTTTATTTTCCTGTAATTACTTCCTCAAAGTAGGATACAGTTCATATCGTGTGGTTAATAAATAAAATTTACTGGTGGTACCTCTTGTGAGTCCGCACGGGTAAGTACCACGCCCTGCCTATTTCTGCCGTGAAGCAGTAATGCGTTTCGGTTTTGTTGGGACAGCCGTTGTAACATACTGAGACCTTAGAACTTATATCTCAAGGTGGGTGGCGCATTTACGTTGCAGATGTCTATGGGCTCCAGTAACCACTTAACACCAGGTGGCCTGTGAGCTCGTCCACCCATCAAAGCAATAAAAAAAAAGTAAAATATTAGACATCAAAAATATTTGAAAAATTACAATACCTAATTCAACTCAGATTTGGTTGCATTGTTAACAGAATTTCGGCAACGGGAAATTCAAATTCGACTTATTAACCGTCATTATCACATTCTAACAAGCATTATGACGTACCTAATCAGAATTTGTGACCTGCCAGCGTGCACGTCTAACGAAATATTAAACACTGGGCGTTATCAATAAAAAGATAAACAATGCTGAAGGGTTTTGTGTACATGTTTATTTGGTAACGGCTCTAATGAAATTCTAAGATTAATATGAGTATGTTTTGGTTTTGATGTTTTTATAAGTTTTTGTAAACCAAAAATTAAACTAATCCAAAACAATCTTTTGGTGTATTCGTCAAATTCATTTTACTCTTCTTATTTATCATTGCCTATTAGTAAAGCAAGATTACGTTCCTGATAGGTGCTCAAGTATTGTCTAATTTTTTTACTTCTCGTCTCGCTGAGGACAAAATGTCGCTTTTTTTCTATAGAAATAAAACTATAGAAACTAACCTATATATTAATTATATGATTCATACATATGAGTAGGTCACTTTCAATATCTAAACCGTCTTTTTAACTATTAGAACAAAATTAAAATGAGCTTTAAGCTTCAACTTCATTATTTTTCCATGTACTTCTTATATTAATTTATCCGAGAATGTAAATAGCTTATTGTACAAAAAACTAGCATCTAAAGTACGATTATTAACATAACCGATACGAACGCCTGTGTTTTCTTTTCCCCAATATTAAAAACCTATCAGAACTATCTTCGACTTTTAAACATTTAACCCAAGTAAAATTTTGTACGTGGGTATTTATCAAACAAAGCATCAATCTAAATTAACACATATGTACTTAGTAAAATTTACCTCTTAATGAAAAGCAAACCATAACTGAAAACAACGCAAATCAAGTGAAAAGATGAAAAATTCAAATAATCAACTTCATAATCTATCAAGGACAGAAAAAATACAAACGATAAAACAAAGTTAGACAGCTGGTTTTGAAATATAAACTATACATACATGCACGTGCATTCGAAATCTTTCTCCGAAATTGCAACGTTAAATGATCAAATTAAAATCGTCAGGCCATTAAAACATTGAACACTTACTTTGCTATTTGATAGATCTCTAAAAATTGGTGAAAAACACAAACTACGATTTAATTCTAATTTAACGAGTAAACGACATCTAGAAAAACACACCGACGACGCCATCTTTACACTACGTAAGTATTGGGTAGGTATCTATAGCCAAGTATCGCCGGTCACCGGCTCCACCGCACTGACGTTGCAAAGCGGGAAATGTAGCGACTCGTCGAAAATAGTTTACCCGGCTATTTGCTGAATTTTGCTGTCAACATTACGTAAAATACTAAAGGAATTTATTCCATATTATTTATCTGTTTAGGTTTATTTAAAACTTATTTACATGATTTGTTTATTTATATAGTGTAATGAAATTTAATTTCACAAATATGTGTCTTTTTTTATTTTGTATCATTCGATTAGATTTTTTTTCAGTTTATCTGACATAGTTCTTAATATGTAAAGAAATAAGCGGAAGGTATTGAGGGCAGACAATAATTGTTCACTTAAATTTGGAATTCTATTATCCACTTTTAAGATTTCGAGTTTGTACTGCCCGCCGTTCGCAATATTTTTCTTTCTGTTGCTTTTGTTGGTAGCACTGATATATTCAGTGTTGGAAAGTTTAATTGTTTTGCAGGAAAATATCGAAGCTATTCATTATTCTTCATATATTCATCTTACGAAACGACAAGGATTTATTTGGCTTAAATAAGATTATTTTCAAATATATCGAAGTCGTCACGTTTTAATCTAATTGTTGGTGCTCAAAGCCACTTTTCTGAAGAAATATGAATTCATCAGATGTTCAGGACTTTCACGATGAAAGATTAAAATGGTATAAAATCAAATTACTGTGGCTGGTGGTAGGGCCTATAATAATCCCAAATAAGCAAATGCTGCCATATTGCTTATTTGTGTTGTGAAGCATTCATGTGTTCTAATTTAAAGAATGGAATAGTCTTATATATAATATACAAAAATTGAACTTCGATCTCGTATTTCGTGGTTTGTGTGGGTGACAGTACTTACGTTGTAAGCTCAACGGTATCCGTTAACTATTTAATACCACCGTGGGCCATTCACCTATCTAAAGATAAAAAACAGTCTATGTTAAACAAATGATACATAATAATGGGTTAATTTCGGCTACATCTTCTTCTTCTATCTTCTTCTTCTATATATATAAAAATGAATTGCTGTTCGTTAGTCTAGCTAAAACTCGAGAACGGCTGGATCAATTTGGCTAATTTGGGTCTTAAATTATTTGTGGAAGTCCACAGAAGGTTTAAAAGGTAAATAAATATGCTCGGAATTTGATAAAAATAACAATGTTGTTTTTCCTTTGATGTGTCCCCCTTCGGACGGATTCCTTTTGTTTGTTTTATACACAAGCGTAGGTATTTTATTTATCTATTGAGGCACTATGAAGTTTGCCGGGTCAGCTAGTCTGTAATATAATTACATACTCGCCTTTTGTCATATCCGCTTGTAGTGCAGCTAAGGACTTACACATAGCTGTACATAACACATACTAACAAAACAAGTTTTAGAATATTCATATAGACTAGAGGTCCCGCAGTAGTCGAAATTCGACTATAATTAATTGGAATTGTAAGTTTGTACACTATTATGATTGTATTTTATACTTCTATAATCACAAATTTCGCCAAGACTACCCTATAAAAATTTTTTAATAAAGATAAACAATATTTAGTCTGTTCTCAATTTGACCACAGACGTCAAGAACAAAAGTTTGACTTTAAATAGTATGCATGCGTGTGTGCGTCAAATACATGGTATGTAATGTGTGTAATGTTTTCTTTTTTGATTTAATGTATCTTTTATGAATTATTTAAAAAAAATATTAGCATTGTGCATTTCTTCTCTATATTCTCTATAAGTTTGGAAAATTTCATAGTCCTCCGTTCACGCAATTTTCGTAAAAAGGGATACAAAGTTTTTGCTTCACGTATTAATATATAGATGCCGGATGGTTTTTGTTTTTTGTAATTGTATTTATGAATAAAAACAGTAGTGTGAAAACTGCCATTACGCCACTAAATTTCAGGTGCATCTTCTAAAATTTGCATCGTGACGTAGACCGTACCAGGTATTTTAAAAAAATACAAAATCTTTCAAAATAAAGTAAACCAGCGACATAATAATAATAATAATACATCTGTAATAAAACCAAATACTATTTTTATTATGCATGTTCTTCAAATAATTTAAAAGAATATTAAAATGTTCAAATCATGTCTGGTTATATCCAGAAACCTGTGGCAATAATGCAAGAATAACTAAATGATTAATTAAATGAACTCAAAATGTGTTGTGGTTTTTGACTATTAACAAATTGAAATTGGAGCTAATCAAATTAACTGCTGTCTGCGCTTCTATCATCAGTTTGTATATTGACAATAATTTTGATTAAGTAAACTTTTTTCTTAAATTAAGATTACACAAGGAAGAATCATTTATTTACATACTTCATGGACATGTTGATAATACATAAATACAAAATGATCAATTATATAGTGATTTGATAAAAGAGAGGATAAACTTTTAGCTTTTATTCATATCTCACAAACCCATGTTTCCGTTTAAAAGAACGAAAAAAAAACGATCATTTCGTCGTATTGTTTTGGTTTTCATTTCACATTCATTTTAATCCACAAATGTATAGATTTATTATATTTAATAAATTGTATACAAAAGAAGGAGAAAAATTAAGTGTATTGCGCGAAAATTATATAGGGAATCCAAAAACTCGATCTGGCAGCACCCAAATTATTCCTTTTGACAGAAACTGTGAAATGACTTTGAAATTTGATTGAACTCTGTCAGAACTCGATGTCAACGTAAAAACATTAAGTTTATAAACGTGATATGACAACTTTTTATCCGTTTCACGGTATCCCGGTGCTACCCCATTATTGTTTTAAAAGATCCATATAATAATTAGGTAAACAATGGCTATACCTGATTATAAGTTAAGCGCTATTTTAAATGGACACTCTATGGACGTTCGAAGCGTGGCTGCAACAAAAGAATTCTGCATATTGTCCGCTTCAAGAGACAGAACAGCAAAACTTTGGCATCCCGAAGGGTAAATACGCATTGTTACTAAAATTATAACAAGAATATATTTAATTATTCAAGCGGATATTTTAATTGTAGTGTTAAAGAGTTCGTGAATGTCATAACTTATAAAGGGCACAGGAATTTCGTATCATGTATCTGCTGGGTTCCTCCGTGTGTATCCTTTCCTGAAGGTCTCGTGGTGACCGGCAGTAATGACAACACAATACTCGGATACAATCTACAAGACGGGACAGTTCTATTGACGCTAGAAGGACACGAGAACGCCGTTTGTAGTGTCTCACCTGGCAGGGATTCTGGGATGTTATTGAGGTTTGTAAAAAAATACCATAAAAATTGTCACTGAACAATTTAGAAAACAGTTAATAAATAGTGCTTAAATTTAATGGTTTGAAAGATAAAATTAAGAAACCTTAAAATAGCTAAATTTGTGTTTTGTAAACAATATTAATCTGTCTATAATGCAATAATATATAATCTATCTATTAATCAATGGTTTGATGTATTATAGAATAATTTAAGAATAATATATGAAAACCACATAGATTCATAATAAATTAAATATCATTCTGTTGTTAGTTCAAGTTGGGATAGCACAGCCAAATTATGGAATATAAACAATCCACAATCGTCTCCGATATCTTTTAATGGTCATCAAGCAGCTGTCTGGGCAGTTGTGGAACTATGTGATGGGACAATAGCTACCGCATCAGCGGACAAATCAATCAAATTGTGGAAAAAAAACCATGAACTTAAAACCACTTTAACAGGTCAGTAGTTTTCTATATTTTCTTTCTCCAGCTTTGACTCAATAGGCTCAGCAAAAAGGATAAGGAGATTTTAAATAAATATGTATTAATCCTTTGCACTAGAATACATAATTATATAAGTACATGTGTGACCTCAGAAAACCTATAGCTGAATATAATTCTATGTTTGATTACAGGACACACGGATTGTGTTAGAGATCTTGCTGTAGCAAGTACAGAAACATTTTTGAGCTGTTCCAATGATGCATCAATTAAACTTTGGTCTAACAATGGACAGTGTCTCAACACATTTTATGGCCACTCAAATTACATATACAGGTACACTTTAGGAATATTTTTTTATTGTATATTGTATACAAAACCAAACCATAAATTTATGATACAAACTTATAACATTTTCTAATTATAAAGTCCATTGGCCATGTTTTATCTATTTAGTACAGATGAATTCAAATTTAAACCTGATGTTAATCTAATTTTAAGGAACAGCAAAGCAATTACATTACGGCACTATAAATTAAATTTGTTTTCTGAAATTGCCATGGTTATGTTTAATATAAAAATGGATTTCTAAGTAACTACACAAGTTCTCACAGATAATGTCACCAGTATCGGTTGTTGTTGTTGTTGTTGTAGTCTTAGGATACCCTGCTGATACATAGGACCCTCACAAGTTGTATCCATTTGATCTTGTCTTGAGCTTGCTCCTTGTCATCACCCCAGGTCATGCTGGCAGTCCTCATCTTGCATCCCACGGTGTGTAGCCAATTGTTTACCAAGTGGTGACCAGGTCTTCTCCTGCCACGCAGTTGCCACTCCAATGTGATTGATGCTGTATTGACTCCGCTGCGCTGTAGAGTGTGTCCTGTCCAACGCCATTTCCGATGGGCAATGTCTTGCGTGATGGGGGCTTGGTCACATTTAGTTCAGAGGTCTTTATTAGACATAGTAATTGGACAGAATATGCAGAGTATCTACATCAAGTATCTATTTACAAACACCTGCAGTTGGTCCGTGAGCCTCTTGGTCACTCTGCAGGTCTCACATCCAAACAGGAGAACACTTTTGACAATGGATTCGAACAGGGTCAGCTTGATCCGACGAGTCATGACACTTGACTCCTAGACTGGTTTCAACTGCGCGAACGCACCCCTGGCTTTCCTGGTTCGTGTCTCTCTATCTTTGTTCGAACCAGCCTGATTTGATATGGTATGGTGGTTAATTTGTAATCCCCAATAAAAATAAAAATGAATTGCTGTTCGTTACTCTCGCTAAAACTCGAAAACGGCTGGACTGATTTGGTTAATTTTGGTC